TGGACGACGACGACCTGGCATATGACGACGCCGAAGAGGATGAGGAGTTTCCGGAGCTCGACCTCGACATGCATGTCGACCCCAAGCACCATTGGGACATCTTGACGATGACGGTGAAGGAGGCATTGGCGAGCTGGAAGGGCCCAGCGGTGAAGGCCGCCATGGAGGAGGAGATCCGCAGCCTCATCAACATAGGCACTTGGGAGCTGGTCGAACGGCCGCCGGGAGTGAACATCATGAAGAACCGGTGGGTGTTGACGACAAAGTACCACGTCAACGACACCGTCGAGCGGGAGAAGGCGAGGCTGGTCGTGAAGGGCTTCACCCAGGTGTATGGCACCGACTACGACGAGACGTTCGCGCCGGTGGGCAGCTACGTCATGCCGAGGATCTTCCTTAGCATCGTCGCCGTCCTCAACCTCAACCTAATGCAGCTCGACATGAAGAACGCCTTCCTGCAGAGCAAGCTCGACCGGGTGCTCTACATGTCCCAGCTGAACTACTTCAACGACGGAACCGGTCGGGTGTGCAAGCTGCTGAAGAGCCTGTACGGCTTGAAGCAGTCGCCGCTGCTATGGTACTTGGCGCTCAACAACGTGCTGGTCGGCGCCGGATGGAAGAAGAGCCAGGTCGACGAGGCTCTGTACTTCAAGGTCAGCGGCGACGGAGTGGCCTGTGTCAAGCTATATTTGTTATAGCTTATTTGTGTTAGTCTAGGTGTACTTTATGTTTTCCTAGGGTTAGGGTTATGCTTGCTATATCTTGCTTGTTTTCACTTTCCTTAGTCAACACTTATACTTTTGTAACTTGACATGGTATAGAGCGATAAAAAGATCCCATGGGCCCACCGCCCCGTAACGTGCCCTAGCCCGAAGCGCCCTAGCCCGAAGCGCCCTAGCCCGAAGCGCCTTAGCCCGTAGCGCCCCGTCAATCCATGTCTCGTAGTGCCCCGTACCCCGCGCGCCACCCGTTTTCCCGTCGCCTCACCCGTCAGATCCATCGCGTCGTTACTCCCCCCCCCCCCCCTCGTCGTGACCTGCCCGTTTTCCCCCGTCGCGCCCTACCTTTTCCCCCCGTCACGCTGCCCGTACATCCGCGCGCGTAGTCGCACGCACCCATACGAACGGTCGCGCGCGCAGCCGCGTGCGACGACACACACAGCAGCACGCGCAACTGCTCGCCCGTCCGCTCGCACAGCAGCCTGTGCGGCCTGTGCGCCGCACCACCTGCAACCCGTCCCACAGCCTTCCCCGTAGCTCGACGCCCCACCCGTCCTCACTGCCTTAGCAAGCCACCCCAGCCAGAATAGCCGCCCCTTCCCAGTTCTGCCGCCCCACCCTTGACAGGCCGCCCCAACCAGTTCTGCCGCCCTCACCCGTTCCCACTACCTCATCTGTAGCCGGCCGCCCCAGCCATATCTGCAATCCCACCCATTCCAGTCACCTCACCCAGTACTTCCCTGCACAGAACCGCACAAAACCGCACAGAACCTTGCAAAATCGCGCAAAACCGCACAAAACCATACAGAACCGCACAGATTCGCCGCCTTACCTTCCCCACCCGTCGCCAGCAACCTAGTCTACCGCCAGGAGCACCACCAGTAACTTAGACTACCGCCAGTCGCACCAACAGCAACTTGAACTACCCCCTAGCAAAGCCAGCAACTTACACCGCCCCACCCGGTACTCCCCACTGCATAGAAGCGCATAGAACTGCATAGAACCGCACCCGCTGCCCCACCCATTCCAGCCAGAGCTGCTGCCCCACCTGTTCCAGTCACCTCACTCGAAATCAGACGCCCCACCCGGTACTCTCCACCTCGCAGAACCGCACTGAACTGCACATAACCGCACAGAACCGCACCCAGTGCCCCACCTGTACCAGCAGCACCAGTAGCAGCAGTTTAGGCTGCCCCAGCACTCGAGCAGCAGCTTAGACTACCGCTAGTGCACCAGCAGCAGCTTAGGCTGCCCCCAGCGGAACCAGCAGCAGGATAGCCTACCGCCAGCAGTAGTTTAGGCCCACCTGCCAGCACCACCCCCGTTTCTAGTGTCAGAATATTGTTCTCTAGCCTGCAGTGGGGTACTCTATAGCGAGTACAACCCCTTAGGGTTTCCCATATGTATCTTGCTGCTTTCTAGTGAACCTCCTCTCCTTTCTTCATTCTAAACTTCTTCTACTCCTAATTTTGATATGCTATCAGAGCAGGTCGATCCCCTTGGGTCGATCCTGTGGGTGGGCCCACCACCTCACTGCTTCCGCTGCTACTGCTACTCCCTGTCCGCCGCGCGCCCCGTGGTGCGCGGCGTCGAAATTAGGGTTTTCAGCCCGCCGTGCGCCCCGAGGCGCGCGGCGGTTTTCTGCCCGCCGTGCGCCCCGAGGCGCGCGGCGGTTTTCTGCCCGCCGTGCGCCCCAAGGCGCGCGGCGGTTCTCTGCCCGCCGTGCGCCCCGAGGCGCGCGGCGGCTTTCTACCCCGCCACTCCTCGCGCGGGAGGCGCTGCGACGGGCGACGGGGACCCGCGCGTCGCCCCCCGTCGCCCGTCGTGGCCCGCGCCAGGCCAGGGCGCGCCTCGGGCCGCCCGCACGCGGTTCGTACGGGCTGCGCAAGGTCCGTGGGCGCCCTGTTTCCTCTTCCCTTGAGGCTCCCGCTGTCCCCCGCGATTCTGACGGCGCCCCACCCCTGCTGCTACCCGTGCTCCTGACTTAGGGTTTGGGGGTGGAGTGTGTCGGGGTATGGGGGTGCAGTTTCTCAGCGGCGTCCCTTGCTCCTCCTCCTCCTCCGTCTCCCGCTACTGCAGCTGCCGCTCAGGGGGGTGGGTGTGTGGGAGCTGAAGGAGTGGTGCTAGGGGGGTGGCGTGGGAGTGGAGCTAGGGGTGAAGCAGGGGGTGTGTGTCAGGGGATGTGGGACTATTTGGGGAGGTTGAACGGAGGTTGCCGTCGTGTCGCCAGTAGCACCTGTAGTCCAGGGAGTTGCTCCGGTAGCCCAGTCGCAGCCAGCTGAGCCACTCGCCCGTGGGTCCGTTGCTCGTCTGCCGCTAGTTTTAGCCGCGGAGCCAGTTACTCCAGTAGTCCGGAGCGTTGTTCCGGTAGCCGCTGTGCCAGTGTGACTCCTGTTGCCCGTGTGTCTGCAGCCTCAGCCGTCTCCTCCTATCTCCTCTCCTCTTACAGTCTCGCCTCCTCCTCACTTGCCCGCTGTGACTACCACTAGCTTTGCTCATAATTGTGAACTTTGAACTGTTGCTTCTTGTACTTGTGCTCAGATTGTGTGGTGACATTGTGATCCACCCTGAGCTTGTTCTGCTTTGCTTGCTCTGCTGATTACACCCCACTTTGGCTATGGGGGTGTGTTAGAATATTGTTCTCTAGCCTGCACTGGGGTACTCTATAGCGAGTACAGCCCCTTAGGGTTTCCTATATGTATCTTGCTGCTTTCTAGTGAACCTCCTCTCCTTTCTTCATTCTAAACGTCTTCTACTCATAATTTTGATATCTAGGTACTCACATGGCTTGTACTCGAGTCCTAAAGCAGCATGGCCAGCCGCAGCACTCCCGGCAGTGGGGGCCTGCGGGTCAGAAGTGTGGAGCCCTCAGCAGTGGCTCAGCTAGCAGTGGGCGAGACGTCGGCCCCTGCGGGTACCGGACCCTGACAGGCCCTGGTGCTGGCACTACCTGCTGGAGTCCGGAGGCGCGTTAGGGGGGAAGCCAAGGAAGACGCAGGGAACAGCACGAGGGGACAGCTTGTCCGCAGACAAGTCGCGGACAAACGCCCGAGATCCCCAGACACGAAACGCAGACGCATCGCCAACCTTCCCCGTCCACCGCAGGGTGGGGGAGGTCTCCGGCATGGAGACCCGGGGCCGAAGGTTGATCTGATGCGCCGCGTACTGAACCGCGAACAGCCACAGAAAATGGGGAGCAGCCGCATGGATCATGGACGTACGAGCGATGTCCATGACCATGGCAATGCGGCGCTCGGCAATCCCATTTTGGTGTGGAGAGGCCGGAAGCGTGAACGTCTGGCGGATGCCCAGTGCACAACAGAAGGCTCGCTGAAGGTCAGAGGAAAACTCTCCGCCCCTGTGAGAGTGCAGACGCAGAACAGGAAAGTCCGAGCCGAAACTCTCCCTGAGCTGGAGACGAGCTGCGCGGATCCAATCGATCAACACCTCACTGACGTCACCCTTGCTGCGCAACGGGAAGACCGTGATGTAACGCGAGTAGTCGTCAACCACCAACAGGAAGTAACGCTCGTGACCCTGGCCACGGACGCGGGCGGGGCCCCACACGTCCAGGTGAAGTGTGTGCAGCAGAGCCTCTGTCAGAGGAAACTCGGAAGATTGAGGAGCAGCGCGCTGCCGCCCCTCGACGCAGGGAACGCAGGTAGGGGCAGGCCCCGAAGGGAGGGGAGGGAGGGACCGGGGGAGACCAGAGACAAGGTAACGGGAAGCCGTTCCTCGGAGACGAGGCAGGGAGGGGTGACCAAGGCGGTGGTGCTAGAGGAGGGTCCGGTGGGACAGGAGACGACACGAGTAGGGGGCAGACTCAGGACCAGACCTGGACGCTGCAGCAAACACCTGACCCGACGCAGCTACCTGACCAGACTCAGCAACCGGAGGAGACTCAGTAGTCAGTGTGTACAGGCTCGACCCCGGCTGACGGGTAAACGTGGCCAAGTGTCGGCCCGTGCGAGCACACGTACAGTGGGTCACCCGCTGACTCGCAGGAGTGAACTGGTCCACCCCTCCATCCTGTAGATCAGCACCACTCACCAAGTTCGTAGAGAACGAGGGGAGGTAAAGACTGGACAGGGTGCCAGAAGGGGCCGCCGGAGAAGGCAGGATAGTGGAGAAGTGGGCAAGGACAGGACTGTCAGAATCCCAACCACTAGACCATTGGGATAAAAGGGCTTGTTTCAGTAGCGGGTCAGTGCGCCCATAACCCCCCAGGAAAACACGCCTATAACCCCCCCTAGGATCGATCGGGGATCTCACAGTGTAGCTCTACTGACAAGGACCCCCAGAGGGGTCCGCCAGGGAGACCGCAACCGGCCGACTAAGCGGCGTGAGTGTGGTGCGGTCTTGAAAGAAGGAGCGGGAAGCACCTGAGTCAAGGGTGAAGGTGTGTAAGGCCTGAGCCGACGTGGTACCTGAGAGAGCAGACTCACCAGCACCTGGAACAGCAGCCTCACCAGCACCTAGAGCAGCAGCCTCACCAGCAGCCTCAATGCCTGTGTCAGGCGGAACACACAGGTAACAGTCACCCTCATCACTAGTAGACACAGCATACATGGCAGCAAGAATAGCATCATAATCCAGATCAAAGATAGCAACCCCCGACCTAAGCAGCTCTCTCCAGCGGGGGATCTCAGTGGCGTCAGGGAACTGGAGACGCCACACGTCTGTCAGACGTCCGAAGCAGCGCTGGGTGGTGTGCGGGCCACGGCACGGTTCACCAGTGCGGTCGTCGGTACGCATGACGTAGGCACAGGGACCAGCACCCCCACCCCACTGACGCGCAGTGTACCACTCAGGAAGCTGCTGGGGGGGCGGGGTCTCACGAGTGCGCTGCTGCTGCTGGCGCTGACCACCACCGAAGCCGCCCCGCTTTGTAGAGCCACCCCGACCAGCTCCACCGCCGCTGCCGCCACCTCCGCCACCGCATCCTCCTCCGCCTCCTCCGCTCCCACCGCCACCGCCGCCTCCGCCTCCGCCTCCACCGCCGCCAACGAAGCTCCCACCCCCGCCACCACTCCCACCGCCACCCCCACCCCCTCCGGCGCCTCCACCGCCACCTCCACCGCCCCCGCCAGCTCCTCCAGTGCCCTTGCCCCCCTTGCCCTTGCCGTTGCGGCGTCTCCCGCTAAGGGCAGACACAGCGCTGACCGAGTCGGTGCCAACGAAGTCGACGGCAGTAGCAGAGGCAATAGAGGGCAAAAGGGGGGAGGGGGAGCACCCTTCAAAGAATGGGGTACGAGGGTCACCACGAGAGGCTCCTACAGCGACTATACTCTTCTCAGCTGCTAGGAGGCGCTCCTCGAGGAGGTCAACGGTGAGTGTGGTGGGGCAAACAGAGAGGAAGTGGCCCCTGACCGAGCGAAGGGAGTCAGGGAGCCGGGTGACTATGTAGTAGAGGGTGATGTACATGGGGGGTGTGTTCTTGGCGCAGAACTCAGCAGGAAGCGCAGCGCGGTAGCGGGTGTCACTAGTGCGAAGGTGCGTAATGAGGTTAGCGACAGTGGGAAAGGCGGCGAGGTCAGGGAACAGGTACAGCAGCATGAGGCGGCTAAGGGCAGCAGTGGCAGGGGAAGAGTAGCGTGCAACTACAGCGTCATACAAGGTCTTAGCACTCTTGTACTGACTAAAGAGCGCGCGCTCAGAGGACGGCAAGTGACTACGCACAGCAAGACGGGCAGCAGCATCGCGTGTGGCCCACTGGGAGCGAACATTGCTGTCAGTATCAGTAGTAGGGGCAGGAGAGGCGCCAGACGTGAGATCGAACAGTGAGAGACCGTCTTTCCTATCGCACTGCAGGAAAAGCGGCAGATCATCGACCCAGACATCAAAGTCGACAGCCCAACCCTCAGCATCAAAGGTGAGAACGCTAGGGGTAGCCATGACAGCAGCAGCAGCAGGCTAGTAGCAGTGGCAGCAGGCGCGGCTCGGCGGTGCTCTTAGCAGGGCGGGTGGGTAGGGGCCCACAAGTGGTGGGGCAGGGCCGAGGCGTGTCGGCAGGGACAGGGCTACGACGGCGGCGTCGGCTTCCGCTGTTGGCGGCGGCGGCGGTCGCGGCCCCGGCAGTGGCGGTGGCAGCGGTCACGGCAGCGGCGGCTGCGGCCCCGGCAGTGGCGGCGGCGGCTGTCGCTGTCGGCGGCAGCCGCTGCTGTCGGCGGCGGCTGCTGCTGTCGGCCGCTGCTGTCAGCGGCGGTGGCTGTTGCTGGCGGCGGCTGCTGCTCTTGTCGGCGGCAGCCACTGCTGTTCGCGGAGGAGCCGAGAAGGGGCCGGTAAGGGCGGCGAAGGGGCCACGAAGGGCCGTGAAGAGGCCGCGAAGGGAGGTGATAGGGCCGAGGCGGGACCGTGAGGGGCCGCGAAGGGCGGCGACGGGCCGAGAAGGGCGGCGACGGAGCCGCGAAGGGCGGCGACGGGGCCGCGAAGGGGCCGCGAGGGGCCTGAAGGGGCCGCGAAGGGCCGTGAGAGGGGCCGTGAGGGTCCGTGAGAGGGGCTGCTAGGGGGGCGTAAGAGAGCGCGACGAGCCGCTAAGGGCAGGGGACGCGACGGGAGGGCAGGCACACGGGGCATGACTCGGGCAGGAGGGAAGCGCACTACGGGCAGGAAAAAAATCGATTTTCGGTGGGCCCTAGGAAACGTTCCCACTAGGGAACCTGCTCTATACCATGTGAAGAAATGAGGAATGGATGCACTAGGAAACAGGAGGGTACAAGTAGGAAAACCTAAAAGTGTTGTACCCCATATTGTCTACCCCACTATAGCCTACACAGACTATAGCATATGAGTTTGATATGCACCAGTCCTCTTCACTCCAAAACCAGACGGCAGTTTACGGACGTGCATCGACTACCGCGCACTGAACAAACCGACAGTTAAAAACATATACCCCATACCGCGCATAGACGACCTACTGGACCAACTGCGTGGTGCAACAGTCTTTTCGAAGATCAAGATGGCGGACAACTCGATCCACAAGACGGCGTTCCGTACCAGATACGGCTCCTACGAATACTTGGTGATGCCATTCGTTCTCTGCAGCGCACCAGCAACGTTTCATATGGAGATGAATCACATTCTACGGCCCCTGCTGGACGAGTGCGTTGTGGTGTACCCTATCTACTCCAAGAACATGAAGGAGCACATGGAGCAGCTGGGGAAGGTCTTCGAGATCCTGCGGAAAAACAAATTCTACGTGAAGCTGTCAAAGAGCGACATTGCACTGAAGAAGGTGCTGTTTCTCGGGCACATGGTGAGTGCCGAGGGCGTACACGTGGACCCGCGGAAAATCGAAGCCGTAAAAAAATGGAAAGTACAAGAGAACGCGAAGGAGTTGCAGCAGTTCCTAGGCTTCGCCAACTACTACAACAGGTTCGTGCCGCAGTACGCTAAGATAGCAGCGCCACTGACCGACCTACTGAAAAAGGATACGCCCTACAAATGGGATACTCCTCATTAGCAAGCCATGGAGCAGCTACAAACAGCACTGACTACGGCACCAAAACTCATCCTACCAGATCCAGACACAGAATACGTGGTGGAAGCAAACGCTAGTGACCAAGTAGTCGGAGCAGTACTGATGCAGGATCACGGACGCGGTTTGCAGCCCATCGCCTACCTCAGTAAGAAGCTGCACGGAGCAGAACTAAACTACCCCATCCACGACAAGTAAGCCCTAGCTAAAGACATAGCCTTTGTTGAGATAGAGGCGAGGAATGATGCACTATGAAATGAAACAAGTACAAGTACCAACCCTAATTGGGTTGTACCCTATATGGACTACCCCACTACAGCCTACATATATGCATCAGCAATATATAATCATCTGACACACCCCCATAGGCAAAGTGGGGGAGAGCAAGGGGTCACAAGACCAGTCAAGCAAAGCAAAGCAAAGCACAGCAAGCTCGGGGTGGATCTCAAGGATACCACACAAATTCCGAGCACAAGGTCAAGGCCACAAGGCCAGTTCACATGCAGCATATATATATAACAGTGCTAAACAAGCAAGAGCAAGAATATATATATATGCAGGAGTACAAGCAAGGTCAAGAGGTAAGCAAGTGAGGTCCAGTGGGCACAAGGCCTAGTAGAGTGCAAAAGCGCTGATGGTCACGAGGCGGAAGTGCCTTGGTGAACACATCAGCAGTGTTGGCCTCAGTGGCCACAAAACGCAGGCAAAGCTGACCACGCTGCTGCAGCTCTCGAGCAAGGAAGTAGCGCAGAGCAATGTGCTTCGTCCTGTGCTCCAGTCTGTGCTCCTGACACAAGGCAATGGTTGCCTTGTTGTTGACGTACAGCACTGGCGGAGAACGAGGCCGCTCTCCAAGGTCAGTCAGCAGATAGGTGAGCCAGCGAAGCTCCTGGGCAGCCATGGCCGTGGCGTAGATCTCAGCCTCACAGCTGGAGCTGAGAACAGAAGAAGAGCGAGTAGAGCGCCAAGAGACAGAGCCAGAGCCAATAATGAAGGTGTAACCCTGAGACGACCTCTGAGTAGCCTGGTCGTCAGCCCAAGAAGCGTGTGAGTGCCCAGTGAGCACAGGCCGCTCACGCCCTCCAAGCACTAGCCCCATGCCCGACGTACTGCACAAGTAGCGCAACACCCTCTTAGCTGCATCCATGTGCTCCTTCCGGTGACGGCCGGGAGCAACATAGCGTGCTAAGATGCTGAGAGGGTATGCGAGGTCAGGTCGAGTGCAGGTCATCAGGTACATGAGGCAGCCCACAAGCTCTGGATACGGACCACTCGACTCTACGGACTCATCCGAAGGCAGAGCTGAGAGCGAGTGTCCCGTAGGCAGAGGAGTGGACTGAGGCGAGGAGTACGTGAAGCCGAAGCGCTGAAGGACCTGCTGCACCATGTGTGACTGAGTCAGGGTAATGGTGCGGCGTGCTCTGTCCCGGGTGATCCGCAAGCCAAGATAGCTTGTCAGTTCACCCAGGTCTGTGCACGTGTGTCTCTTCTGCAGCTCGGACTTCACGTGGGCGAGTGCGGCAGTGTCCGCAGTGGCAAAGACCAAGTCGTCGACGTACACGAGGATGTAGAACGGCGGCAGCGAGGTGTCGGTGCGCAGGAACAGCGACGGGTCAGCAGTAGAAGGAGCAAACCCAAGAGCCGCAAGTGTAGTCCTCAGTGTGTCGTGCCACTCACGCGGTGCCTGGCGGAGACCGTAGACTGGCCGCCGGAGGCTCCACTGGGTGCCAGGAGGGAACGACCCAGTGAAGCCAGGAGGGCGGCGCAGCCAGATCTCCTCGTGCAGGCGGCCCTGCAGGAAAGCAGTGCTGAAGTCAAGAGAGTGTAGCTCGTAGTCACGCTGAGCAGCGACGTGCAGTAGAACCCGAAGAGTGGTCATCTTCGGGGTCGGGGAGAAGGTCTGAAAGAAGTCAACTCCCTGTCGTTGACTGAAGCCACGAGCCACGTAGCGCGCCTTGAAGACAGGCGGAGAACCCGGCGGCCGCTTCACCCTGAAGATCCACATGCCACTGACAATGTTCGCCCCAGGAGGGGGAACAGCGTCAACGTAGGTGCCTGTGGACTTCCAGGAAGCCATCTCTGCGTCCATGGCTGACTGCCACTGAGAGGAGTAGGGACCGGCCATCGCCTCTGCGTAAGAGCGTGGGGTCGGGATGTCTAGAGCATCCGGGTCTCCCTCAGGGGCAACAAGCATGGACATGAGATGGGGCAAAGCGGCGGCAAAGCACTGGAACTCCTCCTGCCTGTCCTCAAGGACGTCCGTGCCAAGAGCACAGTCACCCCTGACGGACGGAGGACAGGCAGACGCAGACGCAGCAGACGCAGACTCAGCAGACTCAGCAGACTCTGCAACAAGACTGGTAGCGTAGTCAAGACGACACGCAGCAGCAAAGTCGACCAGCTCAGCAACTAGGGCAGACGCAGCAGCGGACTCAAAGGAAGGGTCAGTGACAAGAGAAGCAAGAAGACGCGTGACAGTAGGACTGGCAGCACGGCGAGAGTCCGACTCGCAGAGGAGCAGTGGACGGACGCATAGACATCTGGTGTGTGCCAGGGACAGGAGGAGGACGCTGACGCGAACCGCGACCACTAGGGCGAGCAGCTCGGACTGGCGACGCAGGGCGGGACGCAGGCTTACGACGCTCAGCAAGACCTCCAGTAGGACCAGTGTAGGGAGAAGGAGAAGGCAGGGGAGAGGCGGGCTGTAACTGTGACTGTGACGGAACAGGCTGTGGACACTCTACGGGAGGAGAAGGACCAGTGGAAGGCGGGAGACCAAGAACCTGCTGAAGGAGCGGAACGAAGTACGGCCGAGGCCGCGCAGCACCGCCAGAGACAGCAGGGACAGCACCAACACCTCCAGAGGCAGCACCAGTACCAGTAGCAGCTCCAACTCCAGCACCTCCAGCAGCTCCAGAAGTACCCTCAGCAGGACCGACAGTCGTAGTCTCAGCGCCAGCGCCCGCAGCAGCTCCAGCTCCAGAGGCACCCCCGGGCCCGGCAGCTCCAGTACTCTCAGTACGAGCACCTCCGGGACCCGTGGTACCAGCTCCCTCGGCAGCAACAGAACCTCCAGCACCCGCAGCACCCCCAGCTCCAGCAGCTCGCCTCCAGCGCCGGGCAAACCACTCACGCAGCTCCAGAGGAGAGAGCGGCTCGCGGCTCAAACCACCAGGAAGAGAAGCAGCAGGCGCAGCACTCCCAGACGTAGTACCCCTAGGCTCAGCACCCCCAGGCGCAGCACCCCCAGGCTCAGCACCCCAAGTCGCAGCACCCCCAGGCTCAGCACCCCCAGGCTCAGCACCCCCAGGCTCAGCACCCCCAGGCTCAGCACCCCCAGGCTCAGCACCCCCAGTCTCAGCACCCCCAGGCTCAGCACCCCCAGGCTCAGCACCCCCAGTCTCAGCACCCCGAGGCT